GGTTTAGTTGAGTAGCTCTTAGCTTGTTTATGAGGATAATTTTAGCTACTAACGTACCTGACATTCTTCAGGAGTAACTACAGAAGGTCTAACATGGAAGTTCTTCAGTGAATGCAAGTTTTGTATGTTATAAAACATGAATCAGACTTCTGAATAATTTTTACTTTACTGATGCCCTGATTTCCAGGCCACTTGTCACTGAGCCAAGTGATTGAGTTTTTGGGGTTTTTTTGGTGGTGTGGGGTTTTTTTTTGTTTGTTTTGTTGTTGTTGTTGTTGGGGTTTTTTTGTGGTTTTGTTTGGGGTTTGTTTGTTTGTTTGTAAATAAAAATCTTACCTTTCTTTATGTCACCAGATTTTCTGAGAAACTGCCTTTGCTAAACCTTACTTGTAGTTATCCAGCCCAATCTCCTAATTCCAATAGTGGTGAGCAGTATTCACAAGAAGTGCAAAAAGGATCCCATGCCATGACTAGATGCAAGATGAAACCACCAACCAAAAGAAATCCTATCTGTAAACTTGGAATAAAAAAATTAAAAAAGCCTGAAGGACTTTTATCCAAAGCTGGTTACTCATCATTGCAGGTCCTATTGTTCTTTCAGTGCACAAGAACGTCCTGTCCCTCTTGGTGCTGAGAATTTTGAGAATAATTTGAAAGTATAGCCCAAGTAAAGACTTCAATAGACTTGTTGAGTGAAAGCATATTTATTCTTACTAGGTTTTAGTTAAATTGTCATCTTATTCACACACCATACTGCCAGAAGAGCAAAAAGCACCAGCTTACTTTCCTATACCACTGTATGACATTTTATTGTGTTTCTGCCTGTTCATCACCATCCTGATCAATCCTGAACTTCCTGGCTTCTGTCTCTGTCTTCTCTGAACCCTGCAATGTCCCCACTGGGAGTGGCCAGTGCAGTGCTCCAGGTCGGGCTGTACCTCCAATTTAATGTCAAAACTGATTCTGTGTGATGAGCTCTATATTTAGATTACAGTTGCACATGTTTCCTGTTTGGAGGTAATAGTTATGCTCCAAACTAAATAACCATCAGAGTCAAGTGATTTTTACATACATAAGTGACAGTGTCATTGCTGTACAATCATCGGGTAAAAATGCACTGTTTCTGTAATTGGACATATAACTGGTACTGATAAAAGAAAATGTAATTACCATATTTTGAGAACATAAACATGTTTTTCACATGGAAACACTTATGATAGTCAGTGGTCAGGTGAATAGAGACAATCAGAAAATATACACAGATCTTCCTTTTATCAGGAAAAAGTCTTAATATGTTTTTTTATAAACTTAATAAATCATAATTGAATATTGCCCACTGAGAATGTGTTTATTAAGGACCGCCCTAGATTTCAGTTACAACCTATTATATTTGAGAAAACAAAAGTTTCTGTGTGTGGGGAGAAGAGTTACACTTTTCACAGTATTAAGTCACTGTAATGTTCTGTGATTGGAGTCAGTGCTATTTTTCCATCATGTCTACGCATACACAAGGCTCCATTGTGTATTTCTCAGAGCAGAAAATCTAGACTTTATCAAAATTATAAAAATGTAAAGCAGTTTCTGTAGGTTTCTTAGCATTTAAAAATGTGTTACTCTTTCAGCATTTTAAACTAGGCCAATCTCTGCAGAACGTTAGGCAGTTTAAAACTGTAAATCATGATTGCAGTCTTACCTACTTACTATAGTGATTACAGAAAAACTTAAGCTATACAGCTGGGAGGTAATTTTCAAGAATAAATAAATTAGAAGTACAATGCCAAAAGGGACGTTTAGTCCATATTTCTTTCTTATTTTCTGTGGGAAGGAGAGAAGTAACACTTAGATGTTAAAGTGTTAGATTATGACTTGTAATTAATTATGGTTAAAAATAAATTTTTGTAATACCTATAGTGTTTGAGTGTGTCCAGAGCGGGGTGACCAAGACGGTGACAGGTCTCAAAGGCAGGACTTAGGGTGAGTAGCTGAGGCCACTTGGTTTGTTCAGCCTAGACAGGAGAAGGCCGAAGGGTGACCCCATGGCAGTCTGCAACTTCCTCAAAGGGGGCAGTGGAGTACGAGGTGCTGATCTGTCTCTGGGCACCAGCAATAGGACATGAGGAAAATGGTATGAAGCTGAATCAGGGAATAAGGAAATTGGACATTGGACATAAGGAAAAGGTTCTTTGCTGAGGGGGCAGTTGGTCACTGGAACATGCTCCCCAGGAAAGCTGTCCCCAAGTCTGTCAGACTTAAAGGAGTGTCTGGATGACACAGTTATATGGTTTATTTTTAGGTAGTCCTGTGAGAAGCAGAGAGTTGGACTGGATGTTCCTTGTAGGTCTCTTCCAACACAAGATATTTAAGGATTTGCTAGAAGAAGAAAAAATTCTGTCCCCAGATGTGAAAGAGCTAGTTGTTCAGAGGGGAACAGTCTGCCACAGTCCTCAGCAATGTCGAAGATCTCCCAGTAAAATAAAACTAGGAAATGAATATTGATGTTCTCTGCCTGATTTCCTAAACAAACCTGGAAACACCACCCATAAAATTAAAATATTATTTCTCTGAAGGATCAAGCTTGTCAAATCACCTATTTCTAATCAATGTGTACAAATAAAAGGGAACTTCAGATATACAGGTCAGGATTTTCTTCCTCATGAGTTAGATCCTTCAATGTGATATATAAATTTCTGCAATTTATTAAAGTATTCTATTTAGAATTAATCTTCAGTGCTTATCATAGAAGTATTTTCTTAGCCAAATGGTATAAGATGTAAACAAGAAATGTTTGCAAAGAGAGGGACATAAAACCTTTTTCAGCTCTATTTTGGCTAATCACTTCTAGCACACACACTTTTTAAAAGCCTTTGTCTTATTAGTTGGTTATATTTTTTTTTTTAAGTATTAAAAATTATTCTTGAAAGTAGTGAAGGGTTTGACCAAAATAGAGTTGGCATACTAAAAAAGGATGGAATTAATGAAGCATATGTATTATAGCTCACCACATTCCCCGAGCACACAGACTGGATAGAACTCTTCATTCATTGTCATTACTTAAAAGCAGCCAGGCCTTGGCTGGTGCTGGGTTGGTGAACCTTCCATGTGTGACATCTACACTAGATCTGAACACTGGTAATGGCAAGAGAAAAAAGAAATATATGATGTACTGATCCAGGAAATCAGTGTATAACTGTACTGTGTAACTACTGCCTAGCAGGTATAATATATATCTGATGTCATGAATTTTCACAGAAATACTGGCAGAAGAAGCTGTGAAATAGTGTGCCAGTGGGGACAGTTTGGTCTAACTGAAATAACCAGCGGTTGGCTGCAGCCTGAAATATAAGGATTTATGACTTTCATAAGAAGATTGAAACATCATATTATAGTACTGATTTTTCTTTCTATAAATGGCACTTCCTCATTTTCTTTACCCACCCCACCCATGCTCCTTTTGACATCCCACAGAAGAGTTTTATAAGCTAATTGTGCACAATTTCAGTGGCTGCTTGAGGATTTAATGGATATATCTTTCTTGTAGTGTGTGAGTGTAGTGTAAACAGGACAGCACAAAACTTATTAGCCACTTTGTTAATATATATTTCCAGATGCAATACAGTGCTCTTATCCTCAGCTTGTTGGACTGTCATTTTGTCTGTTTTCATATCATGGAAACAAATTGTGAGAAACTGAATTTCCTTCTTCTATGCCCTAATTGCTTCTTTTAATAGATGGTCTGTGTAAGTAAGGTAAGACCTACTGAGAAATCGGGCCGGGAGCCCCGACCTTCCCCGGCGGGTGGCTCTGGGAGAGGCGGGCGGCCGCTGCCAAGCCCCTGTGCCCGGAGTGCGGTTCCTCCTTGAGGAGTGCATGGAAGGCACCCCAGCAGACAGAAACGCTCCCAAGAGCAGAAATGCAGGTGCCAGGTGTTCTGGCTGTTGTCACTGCAAGCAATACAATTAATATCGATCTGCATAACGGTAGGTAGTTTGACCTCTTATTCTCTTGCCTGGGTCGCTATCGAGCTGCATCTGCCACTGTGCTGCTCTGACACCCCTCCTCTTTCCACTCGCCTCAACTGCGTGTCATGGCAGTTCTTGCTATCGCCCCTTCGGAAAACGGCGGTGGAAGGAACGCCTTAGGCAATAGCCACTCTTGTCCCATTTTCAGAAAGAAAAGCAGTTAATTAAGAAAGGTGAGATAGGCAGTACCGCGAGGTAGCCCTGCTCCCCTCGGCTTCCCGGTAGGTGGGAGTGTAGAATTGGGTTGCAGATGGAGCTATCTCTCCGCTGAGGGAGAATAATCCTCGCGTTTCGGGGAACAGACATCGTGGAGACTCCTTGACACTTCTGCCTCTTCCGCAGTCCAGGAGAGCGTCTTGTACCGTGAAAGGAACGATTCTGCGTTGTAATCCTTTTCTACTCTCTCTGTTAGTCCAGTGGAGAAAGCCGGGAGGGAGTAGAAATTTAAGAAAGGAAGAAGAAAGGTCACAGAGAAGGAAATGAAGGTTTACTCTGAAAATGAACACGTAAGGGGAGGTGGCTGGCCGCAGTACGGCCAGAGGGGGAGGGAAAACGCTCCGGCTGCCTCCCCAGAGACCCCCCCGCCTTCACCCGCTGGTGGGGCTGCCAGCGGAGGCAAGTTTTGCAGCGGGGGTTCCCTTACCCCGGAGCAGTGCGGTAGCGGGGCGGGGCGGCAGCGGGGCGGCCCCACGGGGCGGGGGCTGCGGAATCCCTGCAGCGCTCCCCGGGCGCCTGGGCTTCCCCTCGAATCTCGCCCCGCTACCTCACACCCTGGCAAACGACTACATTTCCCAGCACTTCCCTCTTCCAAGCGGGCTCTGCGGGGAGCCTCGGCGGCTCTCGCCATCTCCTTCGCTGGCAGGGGGCTCGGCGCGGCGGCGGGGCGGAGCTCGGCAGCCCCGGCCCCGCGGCCCCGCAGCCCCCCCGCCCGTGCAGGCGCGGAGCCGGCGGCGCTCGGCGGCGGCAGCCGGGGCGGCACACGGCGGCGAGCGGGGCGGCGGGCAGCGCCATGCGGGCTGCCGCCTGCCTCCTCTCCCTGGCGCTCTGCGCCCTGCCGGCTGCCCCAGGTGAGCCGCGGCCGCGGGGCAGCGCCGCCGCGCTCGGGGCGGGGGCGGCGGGGAGGGGGGGACGCTGCGCCGAGGCTGCTGCGGAGCCCCATGGAAACGGAGCCCCCGCAACAGCCTGCGCGCTGGGGGCGAGGGTGCAGCCGGGTGACGGTGCCTCTCCCCTGCCCAGGCGGCTCCGGGCCAGCGACAGCGGGGCGGCGGGGCGAGAGCCGCTTCGCGGAGCGGGAGAGCATCAGGCCCCTGCGGCTGGTCTCCGGCGAGGGCGGCGGCGGGGCGCGGTGGCCGGCACTGAGCACACGGGTGCGGAGCGAGGCGGCGCGGACACAGGTGAGCGCCGGGCGGGGAAGCCGCGGGGGGAGAGGGGCCCGGGCACGGCCGGGGGAGCGGGGGGAGAGGGGCCCGCGGCAGGGGCGGCGGTGCGGAGGAGCCTCGCCGCACCCCTCCGCAAGGGTGTTTGTACCGCTGAAAGATAACGCTTAGTGCACTGCGATGCTCGGCGAGACGCGCGGCTCGATTTCCCGCAGGAGCGCTGGGAATGCCAGTCCTTCCGCAGCGGCGCCCGAATTAGTTAAGATGGTCCCCGTGCCTGGCAATGCCCTCCCCCGGCCGTCTGCGGGGGCCCGGGCGGGCACAGCCCGCTGCCTGCGGCGGCCGGGGCCCCCGAAATGAAAGTTGCGGTGCCGTTGCGACAGTGGGGCTTAAAACGCTGCAGCTTAATTTCGGCTTTTGGCTGAAGCGTGGGGCAGGGTGGGTTTGTGTTCCGTGGGCTCGGTTGTGTTTTTAAAAATAGAAATTGGAAATCGGAGGGGAATTGCTTGAAATATAACATATGAACATAACATAGGAATTTAACGTACATATTGCTTGCTACCCAAACCGGAGTATGGTTTCAAATTCTATAGAGTCACAGAATCGTTCAGGTTGGGAAGGACCTAAGATCATCGAGTCCAACCATTAACCTAGCAATGTTTATGCTATAAAACATATTTGTGTTGTATGAAGACCAATCCCTCTAACTTTTAACAAATAGCTGCCCCAATTTGTATTAAAATACAGTGATTTTCATCTTGAGCACTACTGATCATGTTTGAGGTGGTACATGGCTGTTACATCTAAAGATAAAAAAACATTGACTCCTTGCTGTTATTGAAGAACATAAAATTTGTGCATTTGAAGCAACTGCTGACATCCAAGATGAGTTGCAGGCCTCCATTTCTTCTTTTTCCAATTGACTGCTTTGTGTTTAAGTAACAAAATAAGTGAAAAAAATTGTCTCATATTTCTTTTTTATAATCCACAAAGTATAAGCACTGACAGCTTGTATTCTTTCTGTGTGGTTAAATAATAAGCAGGCTCTTCACAGCATATTTATTAGCCTCTGAATGTGACTTATTCTATGTAAAGATTTTTCAGATGTGAAGACCGTATTTACAGTACAATAAAATAGGATTCTTAAAGGTCCATAATGCTTTGCCTAAAAAAAAAAGAAAAAAAAAATCCTCTAGGCATTTCAGGATTCTTTGAAGGCCCCTGAACAGTCACAAGTTGAAACACTTTGTGACATGTGTGTTTAAAACATAGTCATGGTTGCATTTCACTCTAGTATTACAATTAAAATACTTCTCTTACAGAAGAAACTGCTATTTAATGGGTTTTATTTTTCTGAATGTCTCAGCTTTTGTTCACCAAATCTTATGCTCATAAAAAGTTTTCAAGTCATTCTCACCTAATTCAGTTGTTAGTATGAATATTACTCCAAGCAAAAAAAAAAAGTAACACAAATGGTTTAAAAAGGGTTAAATGCATTTATTTCACAGCAGCCCCCCCAACTAAACCAATGTAAATGTGTAAAGCTCTTTGTGCAACTGCAACTTTTCTTCCTGATGAAGAAGTTTCCCCTCTGCTGCTTAAAATATCGCCAGCCTCTCCCATGGTATCTGATGGTTGTTACTCACTGAAGGATACGGTACCTGGCAGTGCATTGGAGAAAGAAAATTGCAGAGCAGGCCAAACTGAGTGGAGCAGTACTGATTTTCTGTGATTCTGGCACAGGGCATGGTTACATCCTAATTGCAGGATATTGCATCCCTTGCCCAGAGATCTGAGTCAGCTCGGTGGTAATGGACCAGCAGTGTGGCTGACTTTGCTTAAATGAAGTTTTGTAGAAGCTGCATTTAGGAAGGTACTTTTGTATTGTTGGTGTTAACTGTTGCAGTTGAGTAATTTAATATCCTGACTCCTAAAGTCTAGCATCCCATAAAAACCTCAACACTCTTACCTCTGCCAGAATGCTTATCAAAGTTATGGACTGACTTCATGGAGTTAACTTTTATGGTTGCTTTTGTGCGTGTGATGAAAGTCGCATAAAGTATAAAGATACTGGATTCTGCCCTTACACAAAGAGACACCCATGCCTGCCCTGAAGAGTTAACAGCCCAAGATCAGTGGCATATGAAGGGTAGGGGAACAGAGGTTCCCTCTTCATCCATAACATTTCCATATGTATTAGTTTATTTTATGATTAAATACATTCTGTCTCCATGCCCTATTCTATTCATTGCTAGTAATCTTTGAATAGCTATATATGAGAGTTAAAAAAATGGTCTGGAATAGATTTCAAACCAAAGCTAAGGGCCTTCTGGATTAGTTTAGGGAGGATGCTTCTTGGAGGAGGTTGAAGCACTGAGGAAGAATCTTCAATGAGTGAAGGACAAACAACCATGTCTAGAAAAATAGAGATACCTGAATGGGAGGGTGCAGTCAGAGGACTAGACAACAAGGCTGTAGTTGAATTAATGTAAAACAATCTAATTGTGTTTTGAGTTGGATCAAGATAAAAGGAGAGAGAGAGATAAACTGGAGAGAGGGAAGTTGCATTAAACCGGATTGGATTCCTTTAATTCCTGGATGAAAGCTTTAGTTGCAGAAAGGGCAGAAGTTGTACAAGAAGGGTACAAGCCTGAGTTTGGAATTGCACAAAAGGAAATGGAGATGATCATGCAGGGGAACACAGAAGCAAAGCGGGGCCTTAGCAAATCAGGAGTTTTAGAACAGGCTTAAGATGGAGTTGAGCCAGAGGACTGTAATACGATAAAAGGAGGTCAAAGCAGCTAATTAAAGGCAGAAGTTACTGGGAAGTGATGGATTGCAGATTTCTAGACATGTATGGTTTGTTTTTATCATTTGTTGAGGATTTTCTCTAGCAACATCCTTTGTTTTGTTTGGTTTGGGGTTTTTGGGCCATTGCCATTGCCATAACTGTTGAGTGACTTCTCAACATGCATGCTTTACTATTAAATAGTAAAGAAAGTAATCTGTGTACTCATCCTAGAAGCCCAGAATGTAACTGCTTAAGAAAAATTAATGTGCTTACAGTAATAGTTGTCAAACATTACTGGACTTCAGAACATAGCACAAGGCAAATGTTGTAGGCAAATGTTGTACATGTTCATGTTATTAATGTTTGAACGTACAGTATATAGTGGATATAGGACAATTCATGTGACTTTGGGTTTCTGCTTTTAATTCCACTGTGGAATAGAGTCACTACCAGTATCTGTGACACTCCTATGTTTCAATTTCTCTGTTCCCCAAAGGGGGCCTGTTAGCAGCTGCACAGAACTTAATCTAAGGAGTAATCAAGATAAGATATATCTAAAAATATGCTAATATTATGTAATTATTAATACAATCCAGGATCTTAGCAATGGACACTTAATTTACGGTTGCATAAATAAACCTATTAGAAGATGAAAGTCCTCTATGTCAGGGGCATTCAGTGCAGGCTGAGCTAAGATTTTTGTGTTTAAAAGAAAGAAAGATCCTACTGTGGACATTTATAAGGAACCTTTTAACTCTGTGCCTTGAGCTGTATTTTGGTATTGTAAAAAGCACATGGGAAACCACAAGTTTCTTAATATTCTCCTTTAGTCAATACTATGCAGATGTGCTTTTCGTTAAAATGTGAGTGAGCTGTGTCTGGAGACAGAAGTGTATGTTGTTTGTAGTTTTCTGTGGGCCAGATGTTCTCGTTGGGAAGATGAGGTCCATTTTCCAGCTGATGATTAGAGTACCAGACCGCTATGTGCCTTCACCTAACAGATGCCTTCCCTGAACCCTCGGTATAACTTGAAAGTGATCTTGCTCTCAGCTGGAGATTGCCACTCAACAACACCAGTGAAGGGTCCCAGTTCTCCTTAAGGCCAGCACTTCATGGTCATGCTGGTAGGTCTGCATACACAGTCTGAGGGACAACATTGTTCCTCTTGTGGCTTTTATTGCATTATCCATTTTTGATATATCTAGGTGTTGATATGGAAATATGTGAGATTTATAATGATTTTCAGTGGGAACAAGGTTCTGACCTACTATGGACATAGATTCCCTCATCTCTGCTGTTATGAATGCCTTGCACAAACATAGCAATTTCGGTTTGTCAGGCTGTTTTTCACTTGCTCATTGCCAGTTGTCATGAAGGTACGCTGGATTCCTTCCTAGAGAGTAAAAGGGCTGACCTGGTTGTAGAGAGCCTGGTGTGAAAGGGCTCCAGGACTGAGCTGAAACAGAAGTACATGTTGTTTGTAGTCCAGAGTGAGTCAGTAGTTCTCAGCAAAGAATTTATTCGCCTTCCACAGCCTGCATTTCTGATTTGTTTGTGACCAAATGATAGAATTGCAGACACCAATTTGGAAGCATGGCTTGCAGATTTCTTAAATGACTTCTTATTGATAATAATAATTGCAGTGAAACTTTGCTCTGTCATGCTGAGTTTGCATAGCTCTGCTTACACTTAGAGTTGAAATCTTCATTAGTTATTCAGGTGTTGCCTAGTCTTTGCTATTGGATTCTCTTACTCTTGGCCTCTCGCTCTGGTCTTCAACAGAATATCCCTATTCTTTATAGTTGCTTCTGAAACTGCTGACTTTGTTTAAAACACTCTTGCTTTCTGTTCTGATACTTTCAGCTTCTGTTGGTATTGTAAGTTACTGTGTCAGGTAGCTCAAACAACCAGTAATTTTTTGGTTAAAGTATGAGTGCTGACTGTTGAGTGGTTTATAAAAAATCCCTAGAGTTTGGGACTGATGGATGGTGACTGTTGAAAAGAGAAGTGTCATGAGAAATTGCCCAATTTTAAAAATTATTTTCTGCTCACTTAATCTAATGACTGTGGTCTCTTGGAGAAACTTGGGCGTAATTTTTGGTCATCCTATCACAAAACCAAAGAGCAGAAAGCTAAACTGGGCTATAGTGAATAATAACATGCTTTTGGTTTGTTGCTGAATTTGGTCTTCTTCCTTCCTTGTTGCCTCTTCTTCCTCTTCCCTTAG